AGCTCACTGGAGAGCTCCTTATGGGCCTGTATAGGACATTTTTGTATTTGCAGGGCTGCGAGGAGTTCATGCTTCGTGGGCACCTGTAATCAGCCCAGCTGCAGGAAGACTCATGCAGGCTGTGCTTTCGCTGCCGTGAGGAGGTGTTTTCTACTGCAATGACTACCTCAATGTCAACAAGACCCTTCAGTTTTAACTTTGATGTAGTCAAGGTAAAGACAAAATGTGTTTGAGGTGGAGAGTGGGGAAGGGATTTGGTATAGTGAGATGATGCTAAAAGTGTATATGAGCTGAAAAAGCACGTTGATAAATTTGGGACAGAAAAATGTTAAGTGTGTTAAATACAGAGCTTCAGTTTGGCTCAGGGAGTGCATGATCTAAGAATCTCTGGATGCTGGGAGGGTATTCTGGAAAAGTATTGCTCTGTTGTGCTCTGTTCTTATATACTCTTCTTTAAGCATCTGCTCTTAGGGCTGGTCAGATAGCAGGTACTGTGCTCACTGGACCTTTGGCATGACCTGCTATGACTGTGCTCTCTTATTAAGGCAAAGATACGTGATCTTCATGTTGAGAAGATCATTGTGCTGAGAAAACTGGCCTTTTTTCACAGAAGAGCCTGATATTCGTCTATGTACTGCCATCAGCCAGGGCTAGATATGGGACGTACCGACATGGCAGCCTTCTGCCATTGCAGCCGCCAGTTGTAGTTGATGCTGAATGTGCTGGTTGTTGGAACGTGGATCAGGAGTACACCCAGAAACACCTCCCCCTGCTGTTCTGCTGCTGCTTCGGGAAGGCATGCCTGCCGCAGGATCCGCAGCTGGGTGGCTTGGTGGGGTGGCGTGGAAGGGTGCTCACTGCTATCCAGCCTGCACCTGGGGGATGTGCTGCCACACAGCGAGCTGCAGCCTACCTTTGTCCTCCAGGCCAACACATGGGAACTGTCCAGTGGGAAAGATCTTGCTCGCTTTGCTGTCTTGTGGTCACTGTGCAGGGATATAGGGCCAAGTCAGCAGGGTGGCCCTGCCTCTGTTCCCTTTGCTCAGACCCCACCAGAAGACTTCTCCCTCGCAGACTGAGTCATGTTCTTAGGTGCCTTGCGCTCTGGCTACAGACTCCAAGCCTTATCATGGAGACAGCAGAAGCAGTGCTACGTCGGAGCTGCAGGCAGAGATGTGCTCAGTTATGCATCCACCAAAATGCTCCTGGCCCCGTGCAAAGGGTTGGCTCGCTGCGGGGCAGCACTCCTTCCTTCCAGTGCTCCTCTTAGCTTCTGTGCCAAGGGCAGCCAGGTGGACTGAGATTTAATGAGGTTTTGTTTCACATGACTTCCTCCACCATAGGAAAGGAATAAATAGGTGGAGTGTTTTTAAAGCAGGTCATAGAGTATCGATAAGAGCTCTCTTTTAATTCTTAATTCAAGTAAAAAACAGAATCTTGGAGTGGGAAGTTTCCTTTCTGTAGCACTAAGTACTTGTGCTTCCCTTTTACTCTGTATACAGTGTACTTGCAGCAGGGCCAAGAGCTGTGGATTTCTCTTGCTCTCTCACTGCTAGACTGGCAGCTTCTACCCTTCTTTAGCTTGTTGAGAGGCGCAGACAACAGGGAGTGGATGGCTCAGTGAGGTAGGTGCTAACTGGTGCATTTTTGAGAGAAAATGCAGTGGAGGTGGACTGCAAGAGGGGCATGTTTCACCATAGCCCATAGAAATGATTCCCCAGGCAGGTGTGGTTTTGCTATCTTTGTGTTTCTGATTAGGCTGATTCCACAGTACTTCTTGTCCTGTACAGAGATAAGAGGGAGGATGTTTCATGCCTTACAGATACTGGTACCATTTCTCTGGCATTGTTCCTGTTGCCATGCAAGATATTCCTTTCCCTCCAGTCCTGCTAGTGCTCCTGTTTCTGCCCCAACAGACTGTGGCCTGCAGTCCCATGTCACTCTTGTTTCTTTCTCCAAGGTAGTTGCGTCAAACCACACCTGGCTTTTTTCAGAGGCAAAGGTGCAAAGCCACCTGCAATGCCAGTTTACATCAAGAGGAGCAGCAGATACCCAATGCTGCTGAAAGAAAATGCTCCTGTAAATATTTTAGGGAATAATCTATCTGAAGACTGTTTTGGGATATGATGGATCTCTAGGCTGTGTTGTGTTCTCCTTCTTTCTTTGCAGATGCTGCTCAGGGAATGGTGGAAAACAGAAAGTGTATGCTGAGTAACAAGAGGCAAAAGAGCATGACATTGCTTGTTTTTGTTCAGTCATGCTGAGAAAAGCTCACTGTGATATGAGGCTGGAGAATGTGTTTAGGTCTCTCCGGAGAAAAATGCTTAGCTGAAGTGTTTTATTCTGACTTGCCTTCAGCTCTGTTAGAGCAGATAAAGCTCTGCAGAGGAGGGGCAGATGTATTGAGGGGCAGTTGTATTGCTTTCTACCCTGAAAGCACAGCTGCCGGCAAAGCAAACTCCTCTGCCCTGACCGTGGTATGGGGCTCATCTCCAGCTCTAGCCTTTATGCTGAACGTCCCATGGCTGCCAAGTGCTGGTCGCGTTGATATGTTGTGTGCGTTCAGCCTTGCCAGTGGACAGTGAGTGCGTGGGCTGTGCAATTCTTCAGGTGTGTGTGAGTGGGAGGGAAGAGTATGTGGTATATCTGAAGAGTAATTTAATATATGCATTTGTGTGTGTGGGTATATGTGCTTATTATCCTATAACAACATATCACAGGCTTGAAAATCTCTGGAAAATCCAAGGTCAGCTGTTCTGTGTGAAATTGTAGCTTCTCTCTGCTTCTAACACAGGCCCAGGGGTGGGAGCCTCCGTATGCTTTTGCTGTTAATGCTTGGTTGCTCCCCTGTGTGTGAGCTGCTGTGGGACGTGTGTGGGGACTGCATTCTCTCCCTGCTTGAGAATGTGATGAAGATGAAAAAAGCGGGAGGTGTTTTGGGACAAAATGGAAATGCAAACCCACAGTTTGTGTGGCACTGAGCAGAGCGGGGAAAGCAGTTGGTAAATCAAAGATGCCAGGGTTCATGGATTTCTTCTAGGGATGATCCCTTTCAAAAGTGATCACCTTAATTAATGTAGTAAAGATTTAAAAAATTGAGTGCAACACTTCTATCTCTCCTGCCTGTTTCAGTCCTTTTTCTCTGCTGAAGCTTTCCTGCAGCCTCCCATCTCCTCCCTGCCTTGCTTTGCTGTACAGTCAGATTGTGCTGCCGAGCATTATGCTAAGTTGTTAGAGCCTTCGCTCTTTTTATACATCTATTCCCTTGCACCAAAAGAAATCTGTGCTTTGTGTGGAATTCCTGATCTTCTCTCCTGCCTGTTGCAAGTGCTGAGTTTTCAGACTCTCTCCAGAAACTGGATGGTCGGAGAGGAGGGAACTGGTTCACTGCTTGTAACCGTTCTGGCTCTCAAGGCTGACGTGGGGTTTGGTAGGAGATAGCGGTCAGTTCTCCGACACGGGTTAGTGTTTCTGTGCAGGGGGGGGTGAGTGCGACGTGTGTGGCACATGTGAGCTCAGCCTAGGGAGAGAGAGATTAACTTGCACTCGCTGTGTGCCTGCCTGTGTAAGAGGGCCAAGGCCATGGAGTCTGTGATGCCTCCGTGCATCCGAGAAGCAGAAAGCTCTGTGTGTCAGCAGTAGATAGCAAGCGTAGGTGCAGCACACTGAACCATGGGCACTGCTGGGCTAAGTGTGCTGTGGATTGAGACTGAAACATGTGTTTTCTTGGGAACTACCGCACGGTTGGCAGGTGATATACCTTGCCTGCTATTGCATCTGATCTGTGTTTGCCAAACGGCATTAAACATGTTATCTCTGCCCAGCAGGTATGGTGTCAAAGCTAGCATGTGTCTGTTCTGGGAAAGGTAAGTATTAATACCTGGAAACTTATGCATTAGGGCTCATGAGACACTTGCTCTGCTCTGCTGGAGAGCAAATTCAGCTGGAGGAAAGCTCGGTACATCAAGCCTAGTTTTGCCTCCATGGAAATCTTTTGGTTGCACCTGTCCCTTGAAGTGGTTTGTGTGTGGAAAAACTTTTATAAAGTCCTGATTCAGGCCAGCACTTGTACAGGCACAGTTGGTCCCCTTCTCTGCCTCTGAGACCCTGGTGCACCTCTGAGCTCTGAGACCTCTGAGCACCCTGTCTCTTGGTGCTTTCCATTCATCTGAGCTGCTGGTAGGACTTAGAATTTCTTAGATGCAAAGTCTATTTTGGCGATGTGTTTCTCCCATGAGTGTGTGGAAGTTGGCTTTTGCTGTCTTTGCTGGTCAGTTCATCGTCAAATTGTCATTGGACACAAAGAATTGCTGGTGTGACCATGCCGGTTACAGGAGCTGCAGTGGGAGATCTGCTGAAAGAGGTGCTGTCTTAAACATCAGAGAATGCAAACAAGCTGCTATTGTAGGCTGTAGTTATAAATATCAGGCTATTATGGAGGCAGTTTTAATGAACGAAATGACTTGCCACTATTCATGCTGATTGTCGCGTGGGTTTTTGTTTGTTACCCCATTAAGAGGAAAAAAAAGCAACTGTACCTTCTTTGTGTCCTTTAGAGTGGCTTTCTCTGTCAGTACTGCAGCATTGGGGCTTTAGAGGTGATGGGGCAGAGATTATTTTTACAAACAATGCTTTTCTCTAGTTTGAAATGAAAAATCAGAACTGTCAAAGAGTCTCTGGCTTTTTTCAGAGTACCATAAAATCTAGACTTCTAGCCTTGTCTTCAAGGTATTTGAAGGTATTTATTGGCTTATATTTTGTGAGGATGATGGTATGTTTTTATTGCTGTCTGTGGGCGAGAGTTTGTCTACTTCCACTGTGTGCGATGCCGGCAGATCACCTTTGTTTTGCTTGCCAAAAGAGTGGCTCTTTGGGGTGGTTACTAAGGCTGTGCCAAGCACTGCCCTGTGCTTTCTTGAGGGTGCAGTGGCAGCTGTGCTCAGTGCTGGTGTTTGCTTCTTACAGGTGTGATCCCTGCCTCTCCGCCGCAGCCTGGTGCCATGGCTGACACGATTTTTGGCAGCGGGTCGGGCCAGTGGGTGTGCCCCAACGACCGGCAGCTGGCACTGCGTGCCAAGTGAGTCCTTGCCACCCCCCTCCTTCTCCTTCCAGCCTCACCTCTGGCCTGAAGGGTTTCCCAGTATACCTGTGGAGCACTGGCCCACCGGCCTCCATCCACAGCCTGGATGGGAGTCAGGAGTTTGCTTGTCACGCAGACCCTCTCTACCCTGGAGGTGTGCTGCATGGGTGGCACAGGAGCCTGCAAAGCTGGGGCTTAGTGCTTGGCTGCTGCTCGGAGCTGCCAGCCTGCAGTGGGGTTTGCTGCGAGGCTGGTATGTGGTGGGAGTCCATCCCACCAGCTCTCTCCTGGGTGAAAGGAAGGGCTTGGAGGCAGGCTTGTATCTCTGCAGCACCCTAAATATAATTGATAGCATCCCCCAGCTGCCAGCACTCTTTTGTTTTACAAGCTTGTCATTTGATCGCATTTTCCCTGAAGTTAAATTACTGCATAACCTAAAGACAAAAGGGATGGAGATGAGTCAAGCACTAGAATTGCATTTGTTTCCTGGATGCTTTCCTTCTCTGGTGGCCAGTAATCTGCCACTGCCACCTCTGCTCTTGTCTGAACCTCTGGGGTCAGCCTGCTGTAGAGTGTTAGAAAATAGGAGGTCACCCTGTGTCTAAGGGGACTGCCTGAGTGTGAACAGGGCACACCACTGCCACTTATCCAGCCTTCACCTGAAACCCTCATTGAGACAGCTGTGTCTGATAGTGCCCTGTGTTCTGCTAGCAGCCGGTGACTTTATCCAGTGACCTCTAAACCCCTACTGAATGGTAATTAATTGAGCTTTTAAAGCTCCTGCCTGTCCCCCAGTGAGCTAAGGAGAAATGTCAGCTGCTGTATGTGAGGCACAGAGGGAAGAGACTTGCTTAAGTCCTTGTGTGGGCCTGGGTTAGACCAAGGGAGGAAGTTGCCCAGTTTGTCTTTCCAAGCGTGGCTGGTGATTTGTGTGTTTGAACTGAGTACCTTAGAAATAACGTGACCTAGAGGGAGGAGGGTGCAGGTAATCCCTGTGTTTGGGAGTCTACTGTTGGCATTTGTGATGTCTGGCATCAGCACCCATCTCTGCAAGGGTACCCCCAGGACAGCCAGCCCGAGGTGCACTAGTTTTATTTACGGGCAGAGCCAAACAGGAGTGAGGACATGGAGTGGTGAAATACAAATTGGAGCAGAAAGGGAAATGAGAGGGCAGGGACAGACAGCGCAGCACTCAGTGCTGCTGGAGGAGTGATGTGGTGATCTGGTCAGTGAGAAGAGACTCCAGCTTTAGGCGTTAGCCAGGGAATAGTCTTCTCTGATGGAAGGCTGACGTAGGCTCTGTGTGCCTGGCAGGTTTGTCCTGTGGGGCAGGGCAAGGGTTTTGTGCTTTCCTTTTACAGCTTAATTCTTCCCTCCACCCCCTCCGACAGGCTCCAGACAGGCTGGTCAGTGCACACATTCCAGACTGAGAAGCAGAGGAAGATGCAGGCTCTGAGCCCGCAGGAACTTGAGGTCATTCTGGAAGTCATCCGCAAGGCGGAGAAATTGGACATCATCGAGCAGCAGCGCATCGGGTACAGTCACATTCATTTGTCCCCTTCCCTCAGAAGGAAAGGTCAGCGCAGACAGAGGAGTGGCTCTCCCAGCTGCCTGATCTCTGCCTCCATCAGTCAGACCATCCCTTAGGTCAGTTGTTTTCCCCTCCCATGTTGCTTGTTTGGAGGTGATGAACATTGGGAAGGAGGTGATGTTTTCCTTCTCTCCATGTCTCAAGCCTTTCTCGTGCCACCTTTGAGCCTTGGGGTTTGCTGTGGTTGCAGCCACTGACACAATCCCTGGTAAATGCAGCCTGTGCTAAGGCAGCTGCCCCAGTGGCTCTGGAAGAGGCTGGAGAAGATGCCGAGCTGTGCAGCTGCACCCACTGCTAGTGGACAGCATGGCTCAGAAACTGCTGCTGGCAGCGCAGTTAGGCTTTCCCTTGTCTGCAGCAGCCCACTGGGATTTTGCCTGGAGCAGTGAATGAGTTTATGTTCTAGCTGGCTGAGCCCTCTGGAAGGGGTTTGCTAGCTTGAATTATTTAATTTACGGGCATCCTTTTGCTGCTGCAGATTTCTATTTGCTTTCAGTCCTGCTGGAGGTCTGGTCTCAGCTGTGTCTGTGGTCATCCTACACTGAGTGCCTTTAAAGCCAGGGAGTCCGGCAGTCCTGCAGCATTTCCCAGCAGTGTTTCGTGTTCATGAGACAGGAAACCCCAGTGACTCCCAGCCTGTGTCCAGCAGGCGCAGCTGCCCACCCCTGCACTTCGCTCTGTCCCTGTGCAGTGCACATTAGTGAGTGCTAACAAGAACTGACAGTGATGTTTGTGAGATATATGGGAGACCCCAGCAGCCCCAGAAGCAGCCAGCAACCCCGAGGGGCTGATCATTTCTGTGCAGTTGTTGGTGTAGCTGCAGGAAGCAATAGCCTTGCTGTTCCTGTGCTGAAGCATTCTCTGAAATACCTTTGGTAACTCCTGGGAGTTCTTTTGTGCTGAAGTCAAGGATCATAAATCCACTAATGGTGGCTCGGCCTGGCGGTGTTGTCTGACCTCATCACCATAGGCAGTACCTCTTTCAAACAGACCTTGCCTTCCTCTCAGTATGGGACTTGGTTGATGGGACATTAGTGCTAATGAGAATGAGGTTGCATGGATAGCAGGATTGTTTCCTCCCTGAGCCGCATGTATGCGCATGGCTGTGGCTGGCCACTGCCTCTGATAAATGGCCTGACTGTTACCATCCCCATCTACAAATAGATGCCTGAGAATTGCCAAGCAGTGATCTCATGACAGCAGCCTTGCTCTGCATGCTCTCCACATCCTGCATCCTAATTGCTTATCCCGCTTTCCTTCCCTTTCGTAGTCCTGCTGCTGCAGACATTGTGCATACATATGTGCTTCCTGTCTTCCAAGCAGGCTGTCAAATGAAGCAGGGAGCAATTAACGAGCTCATTTTGGTCTGATGGCTTCAGTCTGGCCTTCCTGCTTCTAATGGGGTGTAGGCAAGTCATGTGCCTGCAGTGCTGCTTCCAGGGAGTATATGTAAAATGGAGCAGGGCTTGGTAGGTCTAACTCCTCTGCCTCTTTCTGATGCTGTCTGACTTGCCCTGATCTGAGCACTAAAGGCTTTTCTTGCTCTACAAGCAGGAAATCATTGTGTTGGCCCCAATGACACTGAGCTCCTGAGGATGTGGGACCAAGGCCCTCTTGTGAGCTGTCTGCTCTGTACCCAGTAGCTGAGTCAGGCATGTCAGTAGTATTTGAAGTTTTGATTATTCTGGGCTTGGTGAGCATCAGTAGATGGACTTACAGGGTTTGTATCCCCTGTATACCAAGAGCCAGCTGATGGGAAACACTGAGTGCAGAGACTGAAGTGAAAGTACATATGGTCTCAGCAAGGGGCCCGAAACTGCACAGAAGCAAAGGTAGGCTGAGTCTGGAGCACACATCTGCAGGTTTTCCGTGTGCCTCAGAACTATGTGCTTCAATTTCCAAGGTGAGTGCTGTGACCTCTGCTCTGCCTCATTCCCCACAGGCGCCTGGTGGAGCGGCTTGAGAACATGAGAAAGAACGTGATGGGGAATGGCCTCTCCCAGTGTCTGCTCTGCGGTGAACTGCTTGGGCTGCTGGGCAGCACATCGGTCTTCTGTCAGGATTGCAAAAAGGTGGGTTTGGACACACAGGTGCTGCCTGTTCATGCTAGCGGATCTGCCCAGAAAAAGCCACTAGGCCTCTTGGAAACTGGATACTGCTGCAGAGCTAACTTATCTTAGCCCCACTTGTCTAGGTCAGTTCTGTCAAACCATCATGTTTTCCTTTGCACCCTGGTTATCTTATTCCTCAGAATCCTTAAGTGCCTAAACTGCACTTAGCAGTGAGATTGGAGTGCATCAGTGCAACTCTGGGGTTGCAGAGTGAGAAAAGGGGCAGGAATGTATGGCCATCAGCGGCGACTCATAAAAGGGTCCGTGTGCTTTACTATTATTTGCTGCAAGGTCTGCCCTTAGACCTTCCAGTAACATGTCTCTTCAGAGGACTTAAGTCCATCTTCAAGTTCCAAACCAGTGTCCAGTTTCCAACCGTGATACATAATTAGCCTGTGCATCAATGACTGCCTGTGTGTGCATATGTTGTTGGCAGGACTGCACGGGTGCTGTTTGAAAGGCATCATCAGTTTGCAGGGAGACTGCTGTTCTACCAGTGCCTTGCGGGACAATTGTTTCATGTCTAGACTCTGCAGCCAAGGGGTTAATCTGTATTGCTGTGGAGATGATGATCTCCAAGGCAACCACCTTATCTTCCCTCTGCTGGGAGGCTGTTTTTCCTGCACTTGAAGCCCATCTTTCCCTGGGGAGATACCTCTGTAAGTAACTTTGCCTCGTCGTGTTGCCTGGGGAGCAGTGAGGGTACTTGCTGGGTGCAGGAGTGTTTCTGACTTGCTGGTGGTAGGGTGGAAGGGAGCAGCCTGTGCTGACTTTGTCCCTGGTGGGTTCTGGATCCAAGGAGACACTTGCCCATATTGCCCACCCTGTCACTGGGGAGAAGTCCTGTGGAGCCCACAGGACAGCACCGAGTAAAACCTACTTCTTTACTGAGGAGTGGTGCATGTTTGCACCTCTGTGGTTAAGCAGCCATGCAGGCCACAGTGGAGAACCCTTCATGATGGCACTGCTGGAGTTTGTGAGATGAAGTTCTCATGCAGAGCAGGCTGCCAGCCTGGGCCTGCCCTGGTCCACAGCTGGCTGCAGCACTGCTGAGCTCTTGTAAGAGAGGGAAGTGGTTGCCCCTTGCAGTCGGAACTGGGGTCCCAGCATCCCTCCATACATGCTTGTGAGTAGGGAGCTTCTGTGAGCTGTGCTGCCTTTGCTGTTGAGTGAGTTTTTCCACTGGATCCAACTTGCAGAAGTAGCTAGACTGAGGCAGGGGTTATGCAGAAGATTGCTTGTAAAGGCAGTGGCTGGGAAAGTAAATGCAAATCTTTGAACCCCGGCTTCTAAGCCAGGGAGAAAGTAGCTTTTTAGGAAGGGGTGGGGAAGGAAGCAGCGGTAAGGTACTGTGAAGTGAGAGGTTTAGTGTGAATGGGAGCTACAAGGCAGCTCCCTTGGAGAGGAGCATGGGCTCTCTGGAGAGTGGAGTATAAAGGGCTGGATGTCAGACAGGAGACGGCTAGCTGTTTCCTGCATTTCAAGCACGCGGAATAACAGGATGTGCTGTATTCTTGCCACCTTCTCTTGGCAATTCTGCTCTCACCTTGTCCAAAGCCAGCTAGGTCACATTGCTACAGCACTTTCTAACCTCCTTCCTGTGAGCCTCGTACACTACTGAGGAGGCAAAAGCTAGCACAGACACTTCCCTGCCCTGCGCGTTTGCAGTTGCGGGTAGTGACCCCGCCAGCTAGTGAGGCTGTGTGAGCCCAAGGCTCTGGGAGGGTTCTGACCAGAACACCCCAGAGACAGGGTGGGTTTGTGTGTTGTTGGTTTTTTTTTATTTTTGTTTTGTTTTGTGGTTATCCCCTTTTTGTCTGGAGTCTGTTGTGCAGTTCAGGAGAATTCATATCGACGTTGATTTAAGGTGAGACCCTACTTTTCCAGTGTGCATTTTGCAGCTGCTTTCAGCTTGGCTGCTCTTTTCAGCTGTGTGCAAGCTCAGGGCAATGCTGACTGGGTTTCCTGGGCTTCTCCCCTTACTGCTTTTTAATGTTGTGGAGCGAACTCAGGGAACAGTCAACCCTTCATCAGAGCACACAGAGTGGACTGTTACTTTAAGCTTGTTCCCTCTCGTCCAGGGATATCCATCACTCGTGCAGTGCTGTATGCAATAAGCAATGACTTGTCAGGGAATTTTTGATTTTTAAAGTTAATCTTTTTTCCTGCTAGCCTTGCTCTGTTACCATCTCATTGCAGCCCATTTAATTCAATAACAGGAACTGTTGTAATGATGCATCTGAAACATAGCCAAGAACTTACCCTCAGCAAGTCCCTTCTGCTGAATAGAGGTTTTATATTTCTTGTAGTCTGGTGGATTTTCTAAGTGCCACTTTCTGTTTTATGAAGAATATTTCTAATATTAGTTTTTATTATCTTAGAAATAAATGCATTATGGCAAGACAGAGATGTATGCAAATCCAAATGTGTTAACAATAGCAGTAGTTAGACAAAGCATAATGTGTCATTTACCATGCAGAGGGTATCAGTATCATGTATAAAAGGTGACGTATAAGTAGGAGAAGAAAGTGCTTTATCTTGTATTTAATGAGGAATGGGGCTAAGTTTAATGTCCTTGATTTTTATGTCGTCTTCTGAGGACTTGTGAGTGATGCTCAATTTTCCAGCTAGTCTGCAGAGAAGGGGAGGAGGAAAGCCCCATTTTATATTGGAACTTTCAAAATTTATGGCTAGGAATAAAATCACTTGGAAACTTCCACTAGAGGGAGTGTTTGAATGTGCTATACATGTGGGGATTGGGATCTTTGAGGGTATTTAAGACTGAGTTTCTCCCTCAGATTTTGGTTTGAGGGAGGCAGAATTTGGGGTAATTCAGGTAGTGTTGGCCGATTGCACCTGCAAGCCCCCTTGGCTTGGGTAGCACCATGTTGAGTATTGATGCACCAGATGGAAGAGGTTGTTCCTTATTTCTCTGGGCGGACGAGAGTGAGGACAGGAACAGAGAGATGGAGGGGAGCACCAGCATCTGTGGTGCTGCCTCCCACTTTTTGTGCAGCATGAGTCAGGGACAGACCTGCCTCTGGACTACGCTGACTAGTTCGGTGTGTTTATTCATGCAATGAAGCCATTTCCTTGAGTACCATCTCATTCTGCTGCTTTCCTCCTCCAGGCGTGGGCACTGAGGGCTGAGCAAGCCACTGAGCCACTGAGACTTTTGTCCCTGGACACAGATCTTCTCAGAGGACAAGCAGCCAGGTTAGGGGGATGTAAAACCTTAGCTGGGGAGATTAAATTCACAAGTCTCTCTAAGCAAGGTTTTGCTCTCCAGGGCCCTCTTGTGAGTGGCTTTTGCTCTGTGAAGATCAAAGAATTCATCCGATTTCTCATTCAAGCTGTAAGCCAAGCCTGATACACATCAGCTTCATTATATAATATTAGGTGATTCAGGTTGTAAATGGCTTGTAATGCCAGCAGAGATATGAAAGTTTCTTGTGCAGCAAGAGGCCGTGTGGCGCTATCAGGCATTCTGCTCAGGAAATGTGCACGTAGGCATGGTTGTGCCTGCTTCCTAAGCAGTTGCAAATCAGTGGCTGCCAAGTGTGTGCTGAAATGGAGGGGAAGCTGTGGGGTTTAAGACTACATATGTGAGGGAAGGGAGGAGAGGATTTCCAGTCTTGCACAAACTCGTGCTCGTTTTTTACTTCATTACAGCTGCTTTTCATGCCACAGTGATTGGGTTTTAGGATTTAGAGGGATTAAAAAAGGGCTCTAGAAATATGCCTGTTGGTCATGGGGTTTGATTTGCCCTGTCTTCTTGCCCTGCAGTCACGGACTGTGCTGTAGATTTGCCTTTGTCTCATGTCCATATAGACCTGAAACAGCTTCCTGTGATCGGTGGTTCTCCAGGATAAACAGGAAAACTGTGCCATGTTTAGGTTTTCAAGGAAAGCAAAATAGAACTGTTGAGACAGATGCTTCTCTCCCTTCTCTCTCCCAAGGGCTATATGGCTGTGAGGGGGTGCTAACACCACCTTTTTTCCTCTTTTTTTTCCTCTCTCCTTGTTTCAGAAAGTTTGCACCAAGTGCGGAATAGAAACCTCTGGAACCCAGAAACGTCCTCTTTGGTTGTGCAAGATCTGCAGTGAACAGAGAGAGGTAAAATGCAACTGTGGACAGATGGGGCTCAGAAGTGTGCACCTACTTGCCCTAAGTCTGTGCCAAGTGTGTGTGAGCTCTTCCCTGTGGCTGGGCACTGGGAGGGGAGCTTGGGATGGGGTTTGGGAGCTGTGGCTGGAGGCCAGGCAGGCTCAATGAACGCACACAATGAACGCACGCAACTTTGGTTTGTGAGGGCGTGGAGGGGAAAAAACACACCAGCCCCTGCAGCCTGCATGGCTTTGTGGAGTTTTTCTAGCTATGGTCATAAAGAGACTATTACCTTTTGCTGCTGCACTCTCCCTTCTAGCTCTGTGGCAACTAAACTTGGCTAGCACTGGTTCTTTAATACAGCTGGAGAGGTCTGTAGCATAGCTGCAGTATTTGTCCCTCTAAAAATAACTAGGATTGCAGTTTTTAAGTCTGTTTTCCTTCCTGCCTGCAAAATGCCGTAACTTGCCAGTGTGTGAGACTTCTAATGCAGGTCTCTAAATTTTTATATCCTTCATCCTTGACTTTACACCGCAAAAAGTAATGGCCAGCCTCAATCCTTGTCTGCCAGCCAGCATCCACCAACATCAGGGCTCGTGGCTCTACAGTGAAGTGAAGTCAGTGAATTTGTTCTGTGATTACAGAAGGATTTTCAGTTGTTCCCATCAATTTATTTTGGGTCTTTGCTTGTGGTCCTTGAACATCAATCCAGTGCAGCTATTTCTGACCTCTGCAACCAACTGTGAAACCTGGGTGCTCTGCTAAATCAAATTTTGAAGTGTACTGAAAGCATTTGTGCAGGTGTTTGAGATGCTGAATTTTTTTTTTACACTAGTTGTGGAAACTTAGCATTGCTTAGGTTTTACATAGGAGGGGTTTGTCTGTGTGGGAGCACTTGCAAAGTTCATGTTCAGGTAAGATGAGGGGTACATGGATGCTGCAGGTCTTTTGAGCAGCAGTGTGGGTGTGGGTAGGGCAATGCTAGTTGCATTACTGGCAACCTTGGAGTTTGCTAGTAATTTGAGATGCTGAACCATCCAGATGTTTTGAATTCCAAATGGAGGTCCCAAAATGGAGGGTGAGGCGGGTCAAGATATTTTCTGGGTTCTGCAGGGAGATGGATATGTGACTAAAATTGACTTTATTTATTTCTTTTATTCTGTTCTTTCTGTGTGTTTTTCTCATTCCACACTGTATAATTGTTGGGTTTTTTCGCTGTCGTTCTTATAAAAATAATCAGGAGCCGTGGTGACTGGACAGAGAAGAGTATTAACCTGTCCAGTCAGTGTTTCGTGCTGCCAGTGTCTGAGGGTACGGTAACCTTCAGAGCTTGCTCTCTCCGTGAAACCTCAGATACGGCCAAAGTGCTTCACTAATGAAAATGTATGGAACTTTCCCTCTTAGACTAACTAAAAAATAGCCTCATCTTACCTCCCAGCCCTAAGCTTAATCTTTTTATTTTTTACTTCTCTTTAAGGGTGGTTCAGGTCTGTCTCCTTTCTTGTTTGCGCTGGTGCTGGTGCCCTGACCAGGAGAAGGTTGGAAGGGTCACAGTGTGGACGCAGTCAGGCATCAAGTCATACATCCCCTCTGTCTTCCCACATGCTCTGCTTTTATTTTGGGGAAGGCAGGGAAGCATTGAGAATTAGCAGAAGCCTTGAGGCATGTCAGCCAGGGCAAGAAAGTTGAGGCAATATAAATGCCTGGAAAGTGGCTTTGATGAGGTCCTCCCTAAGAGTCTGTGTGAGGAAGAGATGAGGCTCTTAGGCCTCAGGCAGATGGCTGGTACTAGTCCAGTTCCTGAAGCTGGTTCAAGTGTCACGATATTACAGGGCATGCAATAAAATAGGAGGTTTCTTTTAAGGGTTTATGTTCACAACCAGTTCCTTGTTGCAGTCTCTTTCTGTGATCTGGATCTGTCTTTTATTGCCATCTGCTCTGGACCAAACCCATTTGGCCATGCTGTTTGCTGAAGGTTACATTTGCTGTCAATGAGATGCAGATGGATGTCTGCTCTTTGGGATCAGATATTCTCATTTCTGTCTAACCTGCGTGGTTAGTAGATATTGACCCCATTTTATTTCCTGGGATCCAGGCAGGATCCCATTGAAGCACTTTGGGTTGTGTGATTCAGTAACAAGCCAATACCACCCTTCTCAATGCACAGCGTAACTGAGCAAGGTTCTTCTTCAGCCCATGCCAACGAAACACATGCTTAAAGTAGACTTGTCCCAGGACACAGACCTCTGGCACCACCCCCTATTTGTTGGACCGTGCTCAGGCCCCTAAACTTGGCCAGCTCTAGTGGCTGAGTGTTTGATGCTGGTCTGGAGTGCCCTCCCCCAGCAAGTGTGATGAGATGTGTTTCCAAGCTAGGTGATTCCCTCCACATTAGCGCTTTGATTGCCATCTGATTTTCTGAACCACCGCTCAAGCTATTTGGGCATGATATTTATGAAGCTCTCGACTCTGTTAGTGAGAGACTGTCAGGCACTGAAGTGAGAAAGGGAGGTCACTTGGAAACCTGGATAGACTAAATGATGTTGGCTAGAATTAAGTGTCATCTGTCTGGGACAAGAGCCTAGGACTATAATTGTCCCCTTTAGCCTTTGCCATGCACTGAGTAAGCACGTGAGTCTTGTGGCCCACCAGGGTCTCGAGCCAGGATGGTGGAGTTGGATGCTTACATATACCAGCTAACAGCTGAAGTGTGCAGCATTATTCATACATACTAAAGCTCTCATCCCCCCATCTTCCTTGTTATTTATCCCTGTAGGCTTGATTTAAGCTAGCATAAGTGTAGTGACATGTGGTAGTCATCTTTTCCCTTTTGCTGTGTGGACTGAATCGCCTGGGTTCAGTTATGAGTAAATCGTCAATATGCCTGGGTCAAAATGAAGACCAAAGTAACAATCTATTACCAATTTTTCTGTTGGAGTTGAAGGTTTGATGCCTGTAGATCCCTTTGGGGATCCCAGCCTCAGCCATTCAGAAGTGTTCTTCGCTGCTGTTGCCTTGAAAACTTCCACTGGGAAGGCTGCACAGTAACGAGGAACAAGTTGCTCTGACTGTCAGATTCTGGAGGATGGAGGTGATTAATGGATTCTGCCTGCTGCTTGCGTCCCAATCATCCAAAAGCAAACCAGCATGTTTGGCAGCACCCGAGCTGCCCAGCATGATGTGCCCATGCAGGGTGAGGGTCTCCAAGCCGCCAGAGAGGCACTGGGAGGAAAGTACTGTGTTCTAACATGGCCAGGACCTGACAGAGCCTGGATGTTCCTACTGGCAAAGAGAGGACCAGCAGGCAACGTTGCGTCATAAGTGCATCTCTTCTTCCCGAAATGAGCTAGACCTCATCTGCTTTAGGCTAGAACTGGCCTGTTGGAGATACCACTTGTCCCAGCTGTTTGCAGAAGCATCTGTTGAAAACCCGCTTTTGTTCTTCAGGATTCTGTGGCCATTTTCCTTTGCAATGTCTTCTGAGGGTGGTGGAATTAAAGCAGGTGTATACTGTGTTTTCTTGTTCCTACCAGCAAGGGTAGAAGCAAATTCAGTCAAGCTCACATTCACTTTCAAGGGTAAGAATCTCCCTTCCTTCTTCCCTCCTCCATGTGCTGCATTGCCTTTCTGGAGACTGAGCGTGGAGGTCTGATCCTCCTTGGGGCAGTCCTGTTTCTGCATGCGTATGAAGTCCCATGGAATGATCAGGGTTGCTGCTGATCCCCGACTGCAGCAAACGTTGGCTATGGGTTCGCAGTGAGCTATTTGCTAACTTGGCAGTGAAGCAGTGATGCACCCATGGGAATGAGAGTGCAGGGCAGAAAGGGAGCAAGTCCTCCAGCCAGACAGGCTTATTGCAACGGCTGTCAGAGGAGCAAAACTGCCTGGGAGGAGCTGCAATACAGCTGGAATGCTTCCCTGCTGCCAGGCCTCTGGCAAAGCACGTGAGTTTGGTAACAGCTTGGGCAGCAATGCCCATGTTGAATTAGTTGCGTGTGGCTGAAGTCTGCCTGTCACCTCCTGGCCTGAAGGGGTAATGGGACCTGCTGTGTTTTGTCAAATCCCTGCCCAGCTGTTTAACTCTCTGCACAGCCTTGTTTTGAGTGATACCACCAGGTTCTGCAAAGCACCTTCCTGAATTGCCACTTTATATATATATTTTTTTCATATCCATAATTAGCGATGCTATCATCATAATTAAAATCCTCTTGGAAGCATTTGTGCACATTTACATTTGAATTGACACATCCAAAATTGTAGACATAATGAAAACAGTTTAAGTAGGGTGGGGGGAGATAGCTTTTTTTTAAACCCCATTTAATATGAAAGAGAGTGTCAGCTATCAGGGACCTGTTAAAGTTTTAATTTGCCCCCTCTGCCTCACTTTCCCTTTAATTTCTTCTCCTTCGCTAAACAGCATTTTCATGGCTGGCTGCATTTCTTGGTTTATCACACTAAACCATGCAGAGGAGGAAGATTACTGCTGTGGAAGAACGGAGTTGTCCCCTCCCCTTTTCCCCCCAGGGCTTCCCTTTTCACATATACACTCATACCATTTTGAACATTATAAACCAACACAGCCCAGGGTTATTCCTGCCTGGCATGATGTTTTCCTGGCAAAATACCGTACTGATGGAGGGGAGTGTTTATTTTGGGTGACTCTGGATTGAATCGTAGTGATGTGCACCTGTTTGCAATTCAAAGGACTTACCAATAGCCTGCCATATTATTTTGGGAGGTGGTAGCAAGTGGTTAGACTCAAAATAGTGTCCTCTAGAATAGAGCCACAGGAAAAAAAGAGGCCTGATTGAGAGGGGAATGATAAATCGGTGAAGGCTGGCAGCCATTGCAGCTTGAGAAACGTTGGGGTTAGAGGTGCGATAGATTTTGCTATTCCGGAAACAAAGCTCCGAATAGCAATTTCACTGCCTTTTAATTTTCTTCATCCTCAAGTGCTGAATGTGGGAGTTGACAACAGATTGCTGTAAATAATGTAATTGGAAATCTCTGTGTTATGGAAAAGCAGATGAATGCAAATAACGAAGCTGAAGAGCGCTTGCTCTTTCTCCCTGCCAGTGGTTTGTGACGTGCCAGAGCCATGGTGGAGAGCTGGGACAAAGTGGCTGTGTGGGCACGTGCTGCGTGCAGGCAATGGCAACAAAGTCCTCCCGGGGTGGGTGCACTTGCAGGTGCCTTTCTCTGCATTAAGCATTGTAGCTCATGAGAACCTGGTCCCCTGCCTTTTGGCTGCTGGGGGATTGATTGAGCCAGTAATGCTGGTGTCAGCATGGGAAGCTCAAGGTAGCTGTTTTCCTCTGGCACAGCCCAGCCCAGGCTGCTGCAAAGGAAAAGGGCTGCAGAATTCTGCATGACAAGTAGTAGGTGGTAGAGCAAAATGTGGCTTTGCAGCTAAGATCCTTTCTAAGCATCTCTGTTTGTGGGACTTGTGGCTTGGTGAAGTCCAGGAGGGTTGCAAGTGCTTGTTATGATTCCTTCAGCTGTGACCACATCCCTTCATCAGCAAGTCCTAATGTTTTCTCTGTTTAGGAGCTTGTTTTAGCACTTGTATTTTCAGAGAAGGAGAAAGAGGAGGGAAAAATTTGAGCAGTAACATGCGTTTCACCAGGGCCCAGTGATTCTCTGCTAGGTCCCCTTTACAGGCTGCACTTGCATGTGCTAGATAAAAATATGCATCTGCTTCTGACTGTCTCATCCTGTAGATATAATGATGGCTTGATGCAACTTTAATAGGAATATTATCAGGGTTATAAAAGGCGTTGAGCTCTCTGGATTTGTTATGGCCGTGGCCATTAAGTTGGTTTGAAGTAATAAAAAAAGGAGTCTGTTGCTAAAGTAGCTCTTCTTCTCTGTGTCCTCCCCCACTTTGCTTTAGGGTAGTTTAGGTGTCAGGCGAGGCAGCAGGACAGGAGCCTGAAGGAAGTCAATATTCAGCGTGGATTTTGGTTGTGTTTGGCTGGGCCAGTTTGAGCGCAGTGGGCTGGGGACAACTGCAGCCGGTGAACCGTGGTGTGGCTGCTCTGTCCTGAGCCACATGCTGGGCCACCGCATCGTGATTCGGGATAATGGAGATGGGGATCTTTATTCCACTGTGTCAAGCACTCAGAGCAAGGGATGATCAGTGTTAGTTAACTTGGTTGCAAGACACTGGAAGTGGCTGGCTGTCCCTCTTTTGATGAAATTCCAGCTCCACCCAAACTCAGGCTGCTGCGGGGGGGCCAGATTTACGTGCACACGGGACTGGTGGGAGCAAAACTCTCTCCTCCTTGGAAAGAGCAAAGTCCTGCTAATAAACAGGAGTTTTATTCTTGAAGCACTTTATAGATTTATTAATTTAAAATCAAGCAAGAACTTTGCTGTCAGGCTGCTCCTGCGATCAATGAAACTGCCATCAATAGCAGTCAGCAACATCGATTTGTTTTGATGCACGGATGCTAAAACTAACCTGTGTGCCTATGTGCAGAACGGAACGTGAATCTTGGTTGGTTCAGATGGGACACGCTGCTATCCTGGGGGGAGCAGAGGTACTAAATTAATACAGGGGAGAGCATCTTGCTGCAACTATTTTAGAGCTGATCTCAAAACAATTTCAGTACTGCTGTAATGAGACCAAACTCTTTTAGAAGCACCAATTTAAAGTGAATATGTATGCATAGAATCAATTTTATACTAGTATCACTACGTCAGAGCTGGGTGTATTATATCATTAACTCTTTCTATTACTGGACTTGCTTTGGGGTAGTGAGAAACCTGGGGGTGGCCAGCCTTTTCTTACAGCAGTCCTTGCTGTGTCTGATTGGTTTTATGGTGTGCCTAAATTGTAGTTTGCCTGAAGATAATAGGTCTCTTCAGTGCTTCAAATTAAATTACAGATGTTGCAAGGTCTGTTCAGAGAATGACTGTAAGAAAGGGTTGCTTCCTCCCCAGCAGTTTGTGCAGGGAAGCTATGTGTGCCCTAGCTACCCGGTATGTAGCAGGGGCTGAACAGCCTGCCTTCCTTAAGCCATGGCACTGATCAGGGTGCAGACCCTGTGGCTACGGCATCCCTGTTCTACCCGCTGTGTCCTGTGCATGCAGCTGCGCCCGAGGTCTCCTGCCTTCTTGAGACAAGAGAGACCGGGGGTTGCCTGTCCTGCAGCTCCTGCATCATGGATGTTTACCTCAGCTGCAGTGGACTAAGCTCCATGTAGAGACGTGTGTCCCAGATTTAAAAAATACATTGCAGTTTCCGATTCTGGGGTTTGTGACCCATTCTGGGGTTTGTGACCCACTCCTCCAGGGTCTCTGCAGCACTGATGAGTGCTGTTGTACAAGCTGTACCAAATGTCGCACAGTCCCTATGTTCTAGCAGAGGGGATAGAAGGAGCTGTGTCAGCTTGTGCCTTGACTGGCTGGGTCACTGTTTTGGCTGTTTGCACACTGATGAAGGAGCAGGTACAGTGTCCTGCCTGCCAAGGCTGCCTCTGCAGGAGAAGAACTTGCAGTCTTCTCTCCTTTGGGGAGTTGGCTTCCCAGCTTTTCGCTTGGATGGCAGCCTCGTCATCCTACTGGGCAGTGGGTCCTACTACCCAGTGGGAAAATGTTGGTGTAACTGCAGGGTGCTCTCACCTCCTTGTTTCTAGATTCTGCTGTGGTGCACACGAGCTTCTCTCTTGCATTCTTACAGCAAGTGGCGTGTGTGCTGGGTCACAACGATCCTGTGCTTTCTTCTGCTGGGTGCTCTTCTCTTAAAAAGCATACTACCAGGTTTCCCTCTGAATTCAGATTGCATTCACTTGGCTTTCAAGACCCCAAATACAGACATTATAGCTTTCTGTGTTGATGGCTCCAGACTGCTGGAGCAGGGAACCAGACAAACTGCTGAGCAGTCACCTCCCATCAGTGAAATGGTAATGGTGGCATCCTGCTTTTTGTGCCTGCATGAGGAGAACTTCTCATGAGTGCCAGGTGTTGTCACTGCCTTCTGCTTTGATTAAGCCCTAAATGCAAATTGCAAATACATTGCTGTAATTTGGGATATCTGCATTTGCACCCATTGCCATCATGGTGATACTATATGCAAAATGCTTTGGGAACTTGGAGTAGAAACACTGACGAACTCCTTCACTCTGAACAGAAGTGCAAGGTTTCTGCCCCCCCTGCATGAAATAGAAAATTACATTTTTACTATATTAACTTATTTTTGCCCCGGCCGTCTCATTAGCTCATTATTAGACTGCTGGAAGGCACAAAAGAACTAGGTTTTTAGAGGCCATTTCTCCTTGTCTGAGCTGGCACCCTTTTCCCTTCCTCTGGCTCACAGCAGGCTTTATATTAAATATACTTAATAGAGCTCCTTCATCATAAGCTGCATTAAAACTAAATTGGAGAGTAGAGGGCGTTCGTACAGGAGATATTACAGTGTAGCGCTTGCAGTCCATTTCCTGCTGCAGGTTCAGGTTATTTGAGTGTCATTCTTCTCGTTCTGGGATTTTCAAGCACGCTCGTTAAATGATCTGGCTTAGCTCAAATTGCTCTGTGAAATGAACACCAAGGTTGTGCCATTCAGTGCCACAGGAGACAGCGTTTCTGCTGCCCTGGCATTGCTGCCTGCATCTCCCAGCTGCAGCCAGTCTTTGACTCCCTCAAAAGTAAAGTGACCCAGGCTGAGGGACCTGGCCCAGGAGGAGAGACTTGTCAGGACTTGCTGCCTCTCCAGCCAGTGCAAGACATGTTTGACTCTAAGCAGAGCATGTGCTATTGCTATTGCCAGCCATGGCACGTGCCTGCTCTCTCCAGGAAGCTTTTCTTTTTGTGGATTCACAATGGGAAAGCACCAGATGCAGAATCCGAACCACCTGCTGCTTAGTGCAGGCCAGGGAATTTCATCCTGATATCCTTGTAGTAAGTCTGGAAAAGTGCATTTGACTCAAGTGCAGCATCAGAGAAACATCTAGTCTTGACCCAGAGAGTGTAAGAAGCTCTGTGGTTTGCATGATCACCCTCTGCTCCTCTTCCAAGTTATGCTTGTTGCTCATTCAAATTTGTGATTTTTTTAGTGATGGAAGAAGGACCAAGGTGAAGCTGGGCTGACAATGTGTGGGGAGGGATTTGGGATGCTGTGGTAGTTGTAGAGTGCAGGGGAACTGTTGGGCTCTGTGAGCTGGAAGGCTTGACCCTTCCCATGTTTGAGTGGGGTCAAGGTAGCTCAGAGGGAACACCTGGGCCGAGCTTGGTGGGAAGCTCGTTTGGTGCTGGCTGTGCTCTCTTGCTGTAAAAACCCAGGCTTAAGGTGTTGTGTCTCTGTCTCTAACAGGTTTGGAAGAGGTCTGGTGCCTGGTTCTACAAAGGGCTGCCCAAGTACATCACACCTTTGAAGACCAGCAGCAAATCCAGTGAGCTGCCCTCACAGCCTTGGCAAAGTGAGCCAGCCGTGACAGAGGCCGAGGGTGTCGGGACCAGCCGATCCTTCACCTGGGCCAGGGGAAAAGGTTGGTTGTCTGCTCTTTGCCCAGGAAACAGACAGGGAGAGGGGGAGAAGGACCTGTTGCTAGCAGGATTCAGCTGATCAGCTAATAGGGGAGGCTTTCTGTTAGAGGTAGGGGATAGCCAACAGGATGTGGTGCGTTTCTCATGTGGGCAGCAGTGGGTTTTGTTGTCTATGGTATGTTTTTCAGGTTTCACTGTTAAAGTGCACATTTGTGGCCCAGACTAGCCCCAGTCCTCCTAGACTCCCTGTCCTTCAGTCCACCCTTGCTTTCCTTCATTCCCTGCAGCCCCCACTGTTTTGCTGGGACTGCCAAGGGAGGGACGAGTCATGAAGCAGACTCTGTCTTCAGTCACAGCCCAAAGAGCTCCTCCTGCTCCGCCTGGTGAACTACTTCATGGTAGGATGGTGCCACTGATGGACATTGTGCAGCTAAGGCTGACAAAAGGCTGGTCTTATTCCCTCCCTCCTTGGGGCTGCATGCTCCTTGCTTCTGCTGCACCACAGGGCACCATTGGGCAGGTACCTCAAGTCGCTTTGAGCTGGATCAGGAATTACACCTCCAACATCAACCTGGGGTCTTCCTGGTGCCTGGCGCAAGTGGGCAGAGATGCTCTTCTACAGTCAGTGGGCAGGAATGAGCTGATGCTGGCTGTGTCCTTTTGTGCCTGAATCCCCTCAGCAGGTGCAACTGGCAAAGGGTGAAGCTCCCTCCCCAGGCTGTGGAGGAGGAGCTGAGGTTTGCAGCATGGAGAGCTCAGTGCTGAGTTGTTCTTTAAATGTGTCTCAGAGAAGCTGTTGATTAACAGCCCTTTGCAAGGCTGGGACAAGAGCATTGACAAGCTCAAAGATTTATTAGCTTCAGCTCTCACATTCCTGTTCTTTGAGGTAGACCTTGCTTGAAGTAGACCATTGTATCACATCTGGCATCTTGGATCACGGCTGTGTCAGATCCCATTCACAGCACTGCCTTGTAGAGGTTTTTTTCCCCCCTGTCTTCCATCTTCCCACCCGGTTGTTGCTTGTACGCCCACGCCAGTGCTGTGCCTAGGGCCAGCTGGGGGGAAACAGCAGCTTGGCATTGAGGAGCTGGGCACTCAGGGTCATTAGCACAGCAGCAGATAGATGGTGCAGAATTGAAGCTGCTGCCAGTCTGCTTTGATTTCTTTTCGTTTCTTTCTGGTGTGGATTAGCAGAACTGTCTGGCCTCTCCTCTCTGTCTTTTGCTATTAGATCCCCTCAATTGGAGAAGACCTCTTCAGTGTACCAGCAGCATGCACTCTTCCACATCAAGATAAATCTTACCAATAGTGCAGGGGGAAATAACGTTTTAATAAGGAGGACTCAGGAGAGTCAGGTTCACAAACCTGCTCTTCAGGCCCCAGCTAGGAAAGCACTCCCTGCCCTACTGCCACTTTTGTAATGAAAGAGAAATCAGTTCAACACTAGGTGGTTGTGCTTCCCTCCAGGAGATGCTTGGAAGGAGTTGTCTTACCAAATGAACTGATTGATGAGGTATTTTCTGTTCACATGAGACAGAAAACATTACGAGTCAAAGATGTTGAGCCCAGACCTGGCCTGCTTTTTAGTTCAGCTTTTTAGTTGAGTTTTTTTTTGAGGGAAGGCCTCCCCCTAAATACTGGCAGGAGCAGCAAAGGAGCAGGTGGAGGACAGCAAAGTGGCCGTTGGTAAGCTTTGATGTGGGTGGAGAGCTGCCTCTCTCCCTGTGCTCTGATTTTTGGCTAGCTACTGTTTTATGGATTGGGTAATATTAATTTATGGTTTTATTTTCTGGTGCTTTCTTTCCTTGTTGCCCTTCTCTGTTAGGCTGCCTGTCCTCTGGATAGCTTTCAATGGGCACTGCGGTCTGTAATTTATCTCTGAAGCTGGGAGCTTGTACATCTCGCCCTGCTGTTTAACTCTTTTTCACCTACCAGTGCTGGGACTTCTGCCGTTTGTCATCCAAAACATCTGCAATGTGCAGGGCAGATGCCTTCCCCCACGGAGATGATGTAGCTGTGATATTACCGGTGTGATTCTGCGACTGAGCCCGCACTGAGCTTTACGAGACCATGGCTGACAAGGCAGCCTGCCTTACCTCTGCCTGGCTGATAGCTTTTGTCAGCTCACACCTCGTACGTTCTCATCTGAAAACGTCCTTTCGGCATTGAGTAAAGCCCTGATGCTTGTTTGGCAGGGTGTTCACAAGAATGAGCTCTGGCATTTAATGTGCCTGACTCTGACAGGCTGCTCTCGGTGGGGTTTCTGTTGCCTTGGCCAGCTGTGTCTAACCCAGCTCACCTCCCGAGGTGCTGAAGGAGCTGCCTCTCAGCTATTAAGGGACTCAAGTGAGGTGGGGCCAGTACAGGTGCAGCCATGTCCCAGCACAGCCCCCAGAGAGCCTGGGAGAGAGGAGTGACGGTCGTCCCTTCAACATCCTCCATGCCAGGAGCTGCCTTTCAGCAGGGATGGGGCAAACCTCAAGTGTCCGTTTTCTCTCCCAAAGGAGGGGATCAGTGCCAGGCCCTGGGTACTGGCCTCTCTGGCTGTGCCTGCTGCGGGAGGGTGGGAACGCAGC